CTGCTGCTGCTGCTGCTGCTGTGTGGCAATCACTGCAAGCTGGCTCTCCCGAGTGTACCTGAGCTGTGGTCGAGGCCTCGGCCATGAAATCCCTGTCAGACCGCGTGACAGAGATGGGAATGGAGGTCGGCGCAAACCTTGCCGTGTAATTGTGCTTCATGTGCTTGATTTGATACAGCATGGTAGTGAGGGCAATGGCCGCAAGGATTCTTTGGCAGGTGTGCTCCTGGTCTATTCATGATTGTGGGACTGAGACTGCGCTAAGATTTGGTTGCCGCTGCAGATTGATAGCCACAGTCCTGCAGGCCCACACGCAAAGCACCCGCTTGCAGATGGCTTTGGATGAGCATACTGGACATATTGGTCCGGGCCTTGTGCATCACTCTCCATGCTTTGCTGTTGAGGCTATCCTCAGCCTTTGCTGTCAAGGCGAACTATAAAGAATCCCTGCCATGCTGTACAGCTGGCGACGCTGCAGAACTCTACCAACAATAATTCCATTGTCCAGCCTTCAGGTGCCCTTGACAAGGAGACGCAGAAGCTGGAACGCCAATATGAGATTGAACGCTCTGCCCTCAACGGCTTGGCTGGGATGTCGCCGATGTGATACGAGATTTCATGTGGTTGTCTTTGCGTCCTTGAGCAAGTTATATGGCCACTGCTACAATCTCCTGGACTCAGTCTTCAGGCTCCCGCACATCGAACTGCATCATTGCCCTGGAGAAGGCAAGGGGTTGCACGCAGTCTAGCAAACGGTGAAAGACCGCAGCAACCCCAGGAGCTTGCGACCAAGACGAGTGCTGCAGAAAGCGATGCAACGAATGCCCGGCTCTCCACCGCCACCGCCTCCATCCAGAGGTGCCTTGTGAGAAGTTCTTCCACAAACAGGACGATGACGTTTTAGAATTTTAGAGTCCTTTTGCGCAGAAAAGCTCAAGTTCAAGGCATGCCTTTGGTTGAGGTCGTCCATTTTTTCAAAGATGCAGGGCATTTTCATTCGCGGTCTTTTGTGCTGGCCATGGGTGTTGCTGCGTCCAGTGTGGCGATCTTGCCATAGCAGACTCTTGTAGAGGTGCGTTTTCTGTGGCAGGCTGGAGACGCTAGCAACCACCAAAGTGTCCTCTGACACCTTCGAGAAGTTACAGGCACTCCAGAGAGAAGTGCTCCATCTGGGTGTGTGTGCCAAGAACATCGGGAACCTACATGAACCTACAATGTACACCTTCGAGATGGCAGGGTCAAAGGTAGGTGACGGTACTTAGAGAAGGCTCCCATGCCCACAACTTGCCCTCTTGCCAGGGGCGCATTGACCAGATGGAGGCGCGCGGGACTGGAGAACCCCGAGTACTGCCTTGATGAGTGTTGCTTTTCAACCTCATGGCTGCTGCTTTGCGTAGATGCTTCGATGCAAAGCATATGAACTCTGTGCAGGTGACTATGATCAGGAAGGCCGATAGCGAGACTCTGGGGAAGGCTGCGCAGCAGGTCACTGAACAGGCTGGCATCACAAAGGGTCACACTTTCTTGAGACCCTGCCTGGCAAGTCGAAGACTAACTCTAGGTCGCAGAGGCAGTTACCATGACGTGCGATGGTTTTGTCCGAGCACTGTCCACAAGCAGGCGAGGCAGCTCGAGTCTGTTGCCAGCCAGATGCGCGACCAGGGCAACAAGTTGGAGGCCTGTATGGGCATTCTGATATTTTGTTTCTGCTTGCTCAGTTGCCCAGATGTTGTTCACTTTGTCTGTATCGTTCAGCCACCTTGAACGCCTAAACCCAAACTAGAATTAAGGTTATCATTTTTGAAAGTTAACCAGACTGCCAGAGACCACTCATCTCGCCACAGCTTGCTGCAGGTCTTGGACGGGCGCACTGAGACCATTAAGGACCAGCTCCTCCAGAAAGCCGAAAACAGCAATGCCACCTGGCTGATGGTAGATGAATCAGCGCAACGCATGTACATGGATGGTGCTAAATGGCAGTATATCAAAATCTTGGCTCCAGCTATGATCATCTTGAAGTGATGGATGGATCCCTCAGGTTTACACCGTTGACGGCGTGGATGGAATGCTGCGAGCCTACTACAGCCTACACCTCAGAAGAATTGCACCAAACCCTCAGTGTCCAAACATGAGTTTGACGCGAATCGTAACGGATGTTGGCAAGTCAAAGGCTGCGGCTACCATAAGTGTGCCACAACCGTGCGTGAATTCTGGCAAGCTGGTACTTTTCGGGTTCCTGGGCATTCCGATATAAGGAATGGGTGGATTGACGGAAGAATGATCGGACCGTTTTCAAGTAAGCCTAGGTCGGGCGTGTTTCCATTTCAAAGCGTTAAACGGGAGAAAGCAGGAGAAGCACCGGCTTCAATTCTTTGACATCAACTTCAGTAAGCTCGGATGTTGCAGACTTCAGAAATGCCAGTGTCCCTGGTTCAGATCGTGAAGAGATGGATGCGCTGCTGCCGGCAACCCAGAAGTTGTTCTGAGCTTTGGGCCCACATCTCCACCTTCCGGCATGGGATCATGAGAACCATCACCCTACTCAAGTATGTGAGCAATAGTCTAAACTCCTTCAAGGAGCGTATCTAGGAGATTATATAGGGGACTATTATCGGGTTGTTCAGGGGGATGCTAGCAGTTTAGATTATAGCTCATGTGAGAGGCAATTGGTGACAGGTCGCGCGTCTGGTGGCGCCTGGGAGATGTCGCAAAAGCACCAGTCTCTGCACCGAGGCCACCAACAAGGCCATCAAATTCATCGGTGTGGCAGGGTGATGTAAAATCACTTACGGCTGCTAGTGAGTGGATCCCTATGGTAGCCTTTCTATTTTTCCATATTCTTTTCCATGCCTGCATTCCCCTCTCAGAACAACCAAGCAATGTGTACACCCGAAACCCTTTATATGATGCATGCCTTTCGCCCCTGGTTTCCATTTCATGTTCCATTTACTTGTCTTCTTGATGTTCCATTCTCCTAACCCCTAAACCCCTCTTACGTCTTAAAAGGGACACAAGGTTTCCATTTCATCTTCCATGATTGGCTATATCAAGACAACCTAGACATTACATGGCCCTACAAATCACAGCTTCCATCTAACCTTAGATTCTACATAGTAGCTTCCATTTTCGTTTCGATTCCCCTGATCTATCCCCGATACATCCCCTAAATCCACCCTCCCCTCCTTCCCCCCCCCCAATATTCAACCTTCGGTACATGCGTTCATAACAACCAGCATCCTCTGGAGTTGAGCCCTAGACTTGGCAGACCCTAAACCCTAAACCCTGGATGAAACCAGATTGTGGACTTGACAGGTGAGGCCTGGGGAACAGACAGGAAGGCCTGTTTCCTTCGGGTTAAGGGGGCCTGGAGGTCCCGGGTTGAGGGTTTAGGGTTCAGGTGTTGGGAGTTGCTACAGGGTTGTATAGGGGGTTAAATGGGGGTTATATGCAGAGGTTATATAGGGATACAAGGGGTGTAGGATTGCCAGGAATTGCTGATTTTGTTGGTAGCCCTTGTGAGAAGAACAACCGGCCTCTGTCCTCTGTCAGGAGGCGCATTTTTTTGCTTGTGAAGATTTATCTGACTTAAATCGCATTTAAGTTTCTTTTCCTTTTTGTTTTCTTTGGGTACGGTTTAGTAGCCCATGACATTATTCGATCAATCTTCTACACTATCATATATGGGTGGTTGTCAAAATTATGGTCCCTTTTTGGGTACCCTAAATATTAGGGGCCGTATTATAAGAGGGACCCCAAAAGGACCATAATTTTGACAACCACCCACCCATATGTTTTTTTTTGTGTATAAGCTGTAGATTAGGCCTCCACGTGTTCATCAGCCTCAACCCGCAATTAGTCTTTATCTGGTTTCAAAAGCCTATCTGCAAATCCATAGAAGGCGGCAAGAGGATGGCTCTGCAGGGAGCTTACACTTGGCCAAGCAGGAGGTAGGTGTGTGGTCTACTTGGAGGTTCAGGAATCGAGGGTTTAGGAATTTAGCCAAAAGTGGTTTGGGGGGGATAATACGAACCCAATAATGGAGAATAAGATGGAACATGAAATGGGCTGGGGCGTTCTGGGGCTGCATATAGGGATCAAGGGTGTAGTAATTATAGCTCAATTTTAACTTAAACTTGTAACCCACCAACAGCTACATTAGGAGATTCTGGGACTTGTAAACGGGCTATGCGGACAGTTATGGTTGGGTGATAAAGACCCTGAACCTCCAAGAAGGTCAAGGGCCAGGCAGTCCTATGATCCTAGCAAGATGGCATGGCTTTCAGTTCCTCAGAACCTGAAGCCAAGGACACGCGATGTTGCAACAAAGAATCCCAGACACGCCGAAAAAAGAAGCGTTGTCGAGCTTCAGCGTTCCCACGAGATCCTGGAGCAGTTTAATTATTCCTTCAGCACTGGTTTGTCTATGAGGAAGTGGGCCATAGCTGCACAACATGTACCAAGATGTACTGATGGATCTAGGAGTAGTGCGGGCCGTGATGTTCCTTGACTGCTGGGCACTGTGCACTGTTCAACCATGTCACGGCACAGATTGCTGATGGCCGAAGTCACCCCTCCAGCGTTGCAGGCATGCTGTCAGTCTGTGAAACAAATTCGCTTTCAGCCATCAGCAGTTTGACGAGCTGTCTCACCTGCCGGACAGCTGAAGCATTTCTTTGGACTGGCCTGGACCTCAGAAAGCAGGCGTGGCGGATGGGAGCATGAACCATGGGCGATCTTCTGACACGCAGCTTCTGCATGACAGCTACTCCAAGGCGCGAGCGCCCGCTGAAGTGGAGCCGTTGTGCTAAATGTCCAGGGTGCTCCGATCATCAGGCAGAAGTTTGTGCAAGCAATTGACTAGAGCCACCAGAAGTGACCTACGCATGAAGCTGTTCATGAGAATTTGCATATTCCGTGGGCGGTAAAAGATGTTATTAATGTGATTACTACGTAATGAAGTAGAGTAAAGTCTGACCTTAAAGCGAATGCAGAATTGCTTCGATGACTGGAGCACCTAATTCGTCAACAATTTCACTGCTGAATTGCAACAGCAGACATCTTCAGGCTAGTGGTTGATGGTTTCAGGTTCCATCAGCTTCTGTAAGGCCCTGAGCTGCCGTGCTAGGCCGAGAGTCAGGTACATGTCTGCAGTCTGCAAAAATGATGTGCACAAAGTGCGGTGTGACTGGCATCGGCCCATGTTTGGAGGCAAAAGCTGTCATTTGAGACGGGTTGCCTCCAAAGGGACAGGGCGGAGGGTTGGCGCAAAAATATCACTTGATTTGAAGATTCTGATTTAGCTTCGCCAGACGCATCCTGCAACATGCGCGACATCCTGCAATAGCCATGAACAAGATGAAAAGGTCCTAGCGTTCGGCGATGGCTTTGGAATTGGAAAGCTGCCAGAAAAGCAGTTACCATCAGAAATCAGTTTATGTAAAGATAGAGACACAGTCGTTGTGTGGAATATATTTTGCTTTGGAAGAAACGTTTTCTTGTTTCATGGCTTCATGTAGTTTGCTTCGTGCTATTTTGCGTCTTATTCTTCGTAAACATGCTGGACTAGATGATGGCAACCTTGCTGACGTTTGTTCTCCGTGGTGCGTTGCAATGCTGGACGCAGATGCCCCCTGAAATCAAGCCGACAGAAATCAAGTCGAGGCCGATGCTGCCGCGCAAGTTCAGCATCCATTTCAGTATGATCCAATCTAGCTGGTGTTAAAGAGACATGGTTGCAGCGATGTGGCCATGCAAGCAGCTACGGCACTGGAGTGCACTCCTACACGAAGCGGCAGGCCACTTGAGCAATCATTACGCTTCCTCTCATCTTTGTGAGAGTGTTTGAGATTGTTTGAGTTTTGTCAGGCCTCGTTTGAGCAACCTTCAGGACTTCACAGGTCAGCACAGCTTCCCTCGATCGCAGTTGGTGGCAGACATCCTAATTTGGAATCCGAATTTGTAGGTGCAGTCCTGGCATGTCGTCGACGGGGACAATGGCAAGAATCCAGACGTCTGCTGGGAGCCTGCCAATGGCTATTGTGCCAGCATCTTGCAAACAATCGAGGATTGTCTGTGCTGAGGTTATGCGAGCTGCACGATCGCCTCTTGCAGTTGGACACAGCATGGCCCTCATTGCTGCGACAAATCTTCATGAGGTTCACTTGGACAATCTCACTTGTCAGATGGCCTTGTATTTATAAATCGCAGTGAGGCCAACGTTGGTTGCATGCCAGTTAGCTAGAGCCCCACATGAAGGTGCAAAAGGGTCATGCAAAGACATAACGAGAAACAGTGAAAAATGTGATGACACAGGTGTGCAGCATGCAAAAGATTCCTACCTTGCTCTACAGGATTTTGTTTTTTCCGGACTCCTCTTGACTTGTCTTCTTTCGAAGCAAGATCTCCATCCCAGCAGTGTTTCATCACAATGTCATGAATCCAACCTCGCTGAAATGTGCTCAGCTGGGGGGAGCTGTGGTGCGGCTTAGTGTCACCCCTGGGCAAGAAAGGGATTGCCTTGGGTATATACTATAGGGTTGCCAGAGTTCTTCAGACTCTACGTTGTTGGCCGACTTGCCCAGCAGTGGATCATGTGGGAGTCAAGTCAGACAGACTACGTTGAGGGGCGTGGGTCACTGCAATAATCGAAGGCAGCTCGCTACAACATGTTACAACAACAAGATTGAAACTGAAAGGTTTCTCTTTTGCAACGAGTTTGCATACGGAACGGTTGAGATCTACTCGTAAGAAAGAAGGATGCAGCGAGTGTGATGATGAGCTTTTGCGCAGCGACTGGAGTAAGACCGTGTCATGAAAAGCAGGCGGTACCCAAATTGTGACTTGTTTCTCAGCACTTCCTGTTGAATACCAGCGCCATGCGGTGCCTTGACTTGACATCATTACGGCATTTGTTGGCAAGTCTAGGATCCAGAAGCTTTCAAGCCTGTGAGACACCAGCGAATGAGGTCATTTGCAGCGCGTGCAACTTGGAGGATGATTCAGCAAAGGTGTATGGCTTTTTATCGTTGAAGGAGCCTAGGCCTAGGCATTCTTGATAGCAAGCGCATGCTTGCGAGACACAGAACCTGAAACTGTGACCCAACGCCTTGGTGGGCAGGCATCGGCACCTGCGCCAAGGCCCAGACAATTGTCCAGGAAGCATTGCTTTTGTCGGCTTGTCCATCCACTGCGCAGGCACAACAATGGCAATGGTCCATAGTGGAGTTCTCACATCTCCTCAGTGAAGGTCGGCTTCAGTTTCCTTGCCTGGCGTGATGGCATTTCAAGGGTTGAAGCCAAGGTCTTGAGCCTGACGCTGTGGCATGTGGTGTGAGATGCTCAGGAGCACCGAGATATACCGAGATGTTTGTTTCATCATGTTGCATGTTGGGGAGAAGAACTGCAAGGTTGTACTCAGTGCTTGCAGCAGCCTGGGAAAATGGCGAGGCCGGAAACCAGGCTGTGCGGAGTTCGTAGCAAGCATCTCTCGGGCATAGGAGCATCGAAGCTGCTGAGAGCTATGCAAACGTGTGAAGTGGAGGCGAACGCTGCATCCTTAGCGGAGTTGCAAGATGTTGAAAGATGACTTTGTACAGGATGTACCGATGCCTAGGCTGTGAACTACAACTCAAGCCTCAGTGCTTGCGAGAAGGCTTTTTCCTGGGTCAAACCCTTGGCTGTTAAGCTGGGGTTGGGTTGTACTGTCTTTGGCACCTTTGGGATTGTAGTGGTGGGCTCGTCAGCTGGTGCGGGCAGTGCTTGGTGTTCAGTGCTTCTGCTGGATATGTTGGCTGCACCTGGGGTTATGGTGCGAAGCTGCTACTAGTGCGGCCAAGAGTGCAGCTGCCCTTCCTACCCCACTGAACTTGCACTGAGGTGCAGGCAGCATCAGCGCTCAACTCCATGGAAGTGGCAGGAGTCTTACCGTAGCGCAGTAATGCACCCAGGCGGTGTCAGCCAGTCGACACGAGCAGAATTGTCGCTTGTGGCATCCTCACTGTTGAAAGACTGCCGCACCTCAAGGCATTCACTATCTCTTTGTTCCTCGCTTGCTCCCCTCCAATGAGGATGGTATGTGCTACTCACATAAATGCTATAAGTACAAGGAGATTAAATTGGACTGACTGCATTTGCCACAAACGAACACGAAATGAGTCCAAACGTCAAGTCCAAAGTTTTGTGCAACCAACCATGTGGTCATGTGCGAGAGAAAGGTCATGCATTGACAGCAACAGCTAGAACAATTCTTTCAAAGACCAAAAGCGCCACGGAGTTCACTGGTTAGAAACGCGCCTACAGGTTGGTGGTAGATGCATACGTTTGCAGTCAGCCTATGGCACGGTGCATACTCTGACAAAGAGTGGAGGCAAGAGTGACAACACAACCCTGAAATTGCAACAATGAGCGCCCTTCAAGATGACTCCTAAAGCAATGTAGAAAGAACTCTTTTTCCTACAGTGCGGTGTGAACAGGTTTTCGCCCTGCAACTGCAATTAGGATTAGGAGCCTGTTCATCTTCAAGAGCTCTGTGTTTTGGCAGAGCTTTTTCTTATGTCTTGGATGCCATGCACGTTTTTACACAGAAGCTTCAAAGAAAGAAACATTGCTGAGCTGAAAGCTGTGCCTTGGTCCACTTCTTGTCAGCAGGTGTTTTGGGGCCTCGGCCATTTGAATTTAGCACGCATGTGCACACGCACCTCCCTTTTACATCCTTTTTCCTAATTAGACCATGTGTATGCGAAAAGGCAATGCTCGAGGCGGATCTGATCACGTGCCTCTGCAGCAACAGATACCGCGTGATGCAGCGCTTGCTCATGATGGATTGTTGGATCCTTGGCTTTAGCATTCCTAATTGTACCTGCCTCAAAAACGAGGTACAGCGCCTTGGCAAGTTCCATGGAGGCGAAGGGCTACTGGCGGTCTGCGTCTCACGTCAAGTTGTCGTGGGGAACGCGTACAACACGGTGACAGACATGTTTCTGGCGAAGGTACAGCAATATGCATTGTCTTTGCACGCTGAACGTTTCAAGGTCTGCATTGGACATCGGTTCTGAACTTCGTGGCCGAGGTGGGTGCTTTGGTCTTTTTTTCAGCTAGTTGCGGTCAGCCAAGGCTTGCAAACCGACGTAGTCTTCGAGAACGCAGTGATCAGCTCCATGGGTAAAGGCGTGGTTGAGTTGGGCTAAGCAATCTTGAGATTTGTAGATGACTGAAGGCGGTGACCAGTGGTCCGTGGCAATCCTTCTGTTTGATTGGATGAGCCTGGCCTCCGGCTGCTTCGGAGACCAAAGATGCAAAAATGGCCAGCGCATGGGCAGCTGAGGACTCTCTCAACAGAAGATCAGTGATGTCACTGCTGGGAGCTCAAGCCTTTGAGCGAGATGTGAGCTGCGGATCTAGATCTGGCATTAGCGGCTTGACTTGATACGGTGTCGAGGTCAACTCCGTGATGAGCTCCTGTGACCAGGTTGGCAATGTTCAGGTTTTTGACGAGGTAGTTTCTAGACTCGAGACCTTCAAACCTGTAGCTGCGAACCCCTCCCTGTGGCAAGGGCTCACAGTGGAGCAGTGCGCATGCCTTGTTCTTCAACCGCCCGACATTCAACGAGCAAGGAGGCGAAGGGATAGCAGAGCAAACCACACTTAGCACATCTCAGCAGGATCTGAACACATTATTGTCAAGCGCGCATGTCTACAGCTCCATCAGTTTACAAAAGTGTGCAGCTGCCAGGGCTGCCAGGCTTTTCGGCCGACATGTTCGCGTGCGCCACTGAAAATTGTTGCTGTGGTTTGCAAAGCCCTTGCCACCCTCTTCATCTGCTGTTTGGGAAATTGCCCAAATAGTTTCTGTGATCATCATTCTTCTGGCGATTGCCATGGCAGTGCTAGCCTTGTATTGAATAGTCTCGCACGCAGGGCACCGCCTTTTCTTTTGCGGCGATTGCAGCCGCCATCTCAGAAGAGCTACAGAACAGCTCATACTGATCCTGGCAGGTACAACTCGCTGATGGGTGCTTATGAAAGGAGTGACGTTTGGATGCAAGGACTCAACATGCTGGGACGGCCCCTCGAATGGAGTTAGCAGCTGGAGGCCTAGAAGGGTTGAGTGCATCAAAACTGGCATGTTGGGGACCTTGAGAAGCACTGCAGCAAGAGATTCTCCTCCTGATAGACCCCCCTCCCTAACAAGAATACAACTACCGAGCAATCTTGTGCGCGGCAGTCGAGATGAAACGTGAATTCCCGTGTTTGCGAGTGCAGAAATTGCTATTCTAAAGTTGAAAACGAGTTTTGGGACACGCTGGTATGTCGGAACCGAGGCTGTACTGCGAATCGATTTGTGGCGATGTGGTGACCTTCACATCGGCCATGAACGCCTGCGAATGGGAGCGATCCGGATGGCTGCTTGATGTGATGCCGCACCGCCGCATCTTTCCGAACGTTGTTGCAATGAGCTCCGCCATAAGTTCGGCCGAGAAGGGTGATCAGTGGGAGCGCGCGCTCTCTACTTTGACTCTGATGTTGAAGCTCAAGGTTTCCCCGAACGATGTGAGCTTCAACAGCGCCATCATTGCATGTGCTCGTGGTGGGCAGTGGCAGCTCGCACTCCACCTCTTTGACATGATGCTGTGTGCAGACTTGGCTCCTGATCTCTTTACAGGCACTTCCACTGTTTGGGCCTTTGAAACAGCTGGGGAGTGGCAGCAAGCCTTGGATTTCTTAAAATGTGTGCCTCAGACCCGCGCGAAGCCCAATGTCTTCGGATGCGCTTCTGATGTGAACATCTGCGAGCGGCATGGGCACTGGCAGAGGGGCCTGCAGCTGATCAACATTCTCTCAGAGGTCGCAATGCTACGGATCTAGTTGAGCATCACCATCCTGGAAGCCGGTCCCTCAACCCCCACCCGCCTTCTTGTCAAACGCGTCGGACCACCGTGTCGACCTCACTGACTGTGATCACTTTGCAACGGCGAGATCAGACGAACCATCTGGATTTGGCCCAACAACTCGTTTGAGTATGCGTGTGGCGAAGGCATCGAGTACGGGATTGGTGATTCTTCAGGGGCAGGCATACCTCAAAGAGCTTCAGAGCTGAGTTAGGGCTAGGGCTTGTCAAAGGGGATACTAGCAGTTTTGACAGGCTCACTTGACCTCCAGTTCAACATCGCCCTTCCATGACAATACTTGGTTATCTTTGCAAGAAAGGGTCCTGAGCCCGCTCCATCTGGAAATGATTGATGTCCAGCATGAATCTGCAGTAGAGGGAGCCCGCAGCACGTCTACTTGCTTGCAGGCGGACCGGGATCAATCAGCAACAGCCTGTACACGCAGGACTTTGACATCTGTTGGCAATGGCCTCAGCGTAGCTCTTCTGGAATCTGAAGGACTTTGCAGAGAGACTGAGGACTCGGATTCCTTGCAGAACTTGCCTCTGCTGTTGCGTCAAGTTAGCCGGTAGGCAAGGCAGCACATGAAGCTCCTGAAAGCAGATGAAGGTCACGTAACTTAGCCAACTCTGCCTTGGACCATGTGCGGCACCGACATCGCGTTTCCAATCTGGAATTTAGCCAGCTTCTCTGTGGAAGACCACACACCTAGGTGCACGTAGTATCGTAGTGTTGCGTAGGTGTAAGCCCCGCTGAAGCCCCGCACCCAACACCCTGCAACCCACAACTCTGACTCTTCAATCCCTTAGATCTTGCTCCATGCAAGCACATGCAGCTGCCAAAGCCTTGGGCCATGCTTGGCAGCGCAGCTGACTCGGCAGCGCCTGAGGTGCTCAGTCCTTTCCTTCAAGTTTCCGCGCCTTATGGGGGAGGGGTGGGATGCAAGGGGTTGGTTCCAGGGTTGATTCAGCTAGTGAGGGCCGATTGCCCAGCGCCTCGAGAATGATCTGAGGATCTTCATGGTACATAGTCAAGGTTGCAAGTGCCTGAGCTCCAACCCCTCACCTTCTTTCGTGTTGCGGACAGGACACAGCAAAAAAAAGGAAGCACGCGTTTGCTAGATTCCTTGAATTTCTGACTTGGTATCCCAGTTGGATTACAGAGACCGATGCTGAGGCACAAGGACTCAAGCAGATGCTTGCTATCGAATGGAACGGTGTCTTTTTAAGTCTGCGCACACGTCATTGGCCGTGCACAGGCGAATGCTCTCGCTGCAGGATGCTTCCCAGGCCTTGCCTCTATGCTTTGAACAGGAGAGTTCCGCAACCCGACGGCCCAGAAAGTGTAGAATCATGGCTTTGCACCTTCTCTGTGTATATGTGTGTGCGCGCCCATGCGGGCAAGATGAAGAGAATCTGGAAGCTGCTCGCTGAAAGCTGTATGTACATCTGCAATCGCCAGTCCAAAAAGGGAGTGTATGTCTGTAGGTGCTGCAAGAACGCTGCAAACATCAGGATGCAGCTTGCAGAACCCTTCAACTTGATGCGAACGTTACTGGAATAAAGTCAGGTGAAGTCCATCAACGAGTTCACAGATTCCTTGGCCAAAGCCCTGGCGGAAGGCGAGGGCATTCCGTCCAAGGCCCCGCAACCTGCGAGTTTATTTATGTATTAGCATGTGGCAGACTCCTTGTGTTCTGAACACTGCCTGAATGGAAACCTTGAAATCCAAGAGCAGGATGCCTTTACTAATAGACATAGCAAGGGGGATTACCCTGTGGGACAGCCTCAGACCTAGTCCGGACTCACGGGTGACTCGCTACGGCTGAAAGCATCAGCGCAGTAATCCGTCGAGCAGAAATTCCTGCCTGGTTCTAGGAGCTGACCCGCGAGCTCCTCGCTGATGGACTACGCCGAGCCCTGGAAATTGGCGGAGATATTTGCAAAAAGCGCTTCTTGGAACCTTTGCTGAAATTCAACGCGCTAAGCCTTTGGGTGTGTCTCAAGCTTCCAGTGTCAGTACTGCTCGTCTTGGCGATCTGTAGGCCCACTTCAGTGGAGCCCCTTGCAATCCATAGCCAGAGCCATTTAATATGACACGTATATATTTATATATGTGGCTCACACCCAAGTGCCATTCAAAGCGCCGCAACTGCCAGCAGACCAGCCATCTGATTCCTAGCAAACCTACAAGCTGTGAAAAAGGAGACGCTCGCTGCCAACATCCACAAGTTTGCGCTGCAGGACTCTTGGCTGTGCATTCTTTGCGCATACCAGAGCATTGACACCACAAGGTACGTACTGCTTAAAAATTGCTTGCATCTCAATGGAGCAGGAGCAATACTCCTTGTCTCGCGTCTATCCAGTGGAAATCAGCAGAAGCCTCAGGCTTGCCATCTTTTTCTTGGTTCTGCTCATGTCCTGCAGGCTCCGAGTACCGAAACCTGCAGTCCTTCTTCATTGAAGCCGGGACTGAATCCACGGAGGCACGGAAGATTTCCCATAAAAAAAGCACTGGGGCTTCGGATCACTGCTTGGGGGTCCCACCTTGACTCCTTGTCTTGCAGGTGCCAAGCCTTGGGCTCAGTCCAGCAGGGCCCGCAACGGTCTTGTGATTCATTAGTATTACTTTATGCTGATGACAGTATTATTTTCATTTTTGTTTTTAATTTCTATTGCTATTATTATTGTTGTTACGCAGCCCGCACTGAGGCACCACCCGCGCGGGCAACCCAGTCTTGTGAGAGAGTCACTGAAGGAGAAGAGGCAGAAGAAGAACAAGAAGAAGAAGCCTCAGCACCCCTCTCCTGGGGTGCATAGAAGGAGGAAGAAGAGAAGGAGAGAGTGAGAGTGGGGTTACCGGACTTGGTGGCCCTGGGTTGCAGGATTGCATGTTTTGAACCTTCCGCAACCACATGAGAAGGATGCCGGAGAAGCAAGACTAGCAAAGGCATGGGCGCCGCGTTGGAAAGGATAAGGGTAGTTCTAAGGGGTCATGTCTAATCGATGTCTAGTTGCTCAGAAATCCAGGGGCCAATGCCTCACAGGACCTTCTGCGTGGAGAGTCGGTGAACATCGAGTCTTTCCAGGATATGTTACTGGTAGCCAGTTGGAGTGTGAAACAAGTTATGGGAGGATTGGGCCCCAGAATTTTCAAGGTGTTCACCAGCACCACACTGGAGCCGCCGGCACTCGCAGAGCTGCGGAGGAGGGCTGCACCAAACTGGAACTGCGGTTGAGATCTGAAAGCAAGTGCAGATCTTCTTCGTCCCCAAATTCCGCTTGCTCTAGATCATGTCTTTACTCTCCAGATTATATCATGACTTCTCCGGAGTGTCTTTCATTTTTTCATAGGTGTTTTCACTCCTGCACTAGGTTGTGTTCTGCTACCCGACTTGTTCCTGTTCACACTGATAGGTCTTATTGCAATGAAGCATTCAACACGTGTGAGACACGTTCTCACCACCCTAGCAGTCAATTGTACAATTGCCAGTGTTCGTCATTGCTGCCATCCCTCTTAACTTCAGCATCACAACTATTTTGCCGCTCCTGTTGATTATAATGACGATGCTGAGGAGTGTTTCCCAACGATTGTCACCTGCTTTTGACAGCTCCTGAAAAGCTCTTACTCATGCTTCCGTTGTAAAACATCGTTGTTGCTGTTTCTGCTACTTCGGTTCCTGCGCACTGCTGCTGTTGGTCGTGGCGACGTCAGTGGTTGCCTGCTGGTTCTGCTTCTTCTTCTTGCGGTCACTGCCACTGTTGCTGTCGTTGCTCCTCCTCTGCTGGTGCTGGTGTTGTTCTGGGTGGTGGTGATGTTGATGCTGGTGGTGTCGGCGATGCTGGTGGTGGCGGTGAGCTTGTTATTGTTGTTGCCCAGGCGAGTAGCTCATGTTCAGAAAGCAAGCCAGGCGCCTGGCTGCTCTGCCGCAAAAGCCAGGGCCCACTGCAGAGGCTGGTTCCGGGTAGAGAATGAGGTTTAGATTAGATGACATATATTCGTAGTCTGGGGGGTGCCGGAAGGAGGGGCTGAACTTCAGGAGGCAATTTCAGGCTTCTGTCTCGTTTGAGTCCCAGTGAATAGTTTGGGCAATTCGCCGAGACCTTTGCAAGAATGCTTGCAGTCTCTTTGGTGGAATTCTGCTTTGCGGGCCAGGCATAGTGGCAGTGGTGCCTGCAGAGCTCACCTTTTACCCTGATTTGCCAAGCCGCACATTCTTGGAGCCAGGAGTTGGTGCACAGGTTCAAGGAGGAGCAGACTTCCTTAGCCCTTAAGGCCGGCCTCTTTGGAAGCGACTGAATTCGCCTCACGTCATGAACCTAAATTTGGCACACCTGGCCTAGCCATGGAATGTTGAGATCAGAACAGTTGCAGGCTGTTAGGGTTCGAGATTTTACTTTCAGCATCGTTTTTGAAGGCTTCAGGTACTACAAGCAAGCTGAAGTGCTGTCGCTTGCAAGCTGTGCCATGAATCCAAGAGCTTTGCACGTGTCAGAATGGCAGCCAAGCTTGTCCTGCATAGCCAGTTGCCGAGCCTTCGTCCGCCAAAGTCTACTGCAATGATGGGGAATCACATGGAAAAGAACATGGATCATGAAATGGAAGCTGGGTTCTCTGCATTGTTCAATGCCGCGTCCCCTGAATCCCTAACCCGTAACCCCGAAACCCTATACCCTTGCACAACCCTAATCCCAAACCTTATATAAACCCCTCTATGATCCCACAACCCCCTATATTAGCCCCTAGATAAACCCCATAAACCCCTAACCCCTAACCCCTAAACCCCTAAACCCCTAACTCCTAACTCCTAAACACCTAACATCCTAAACCCCTGAACCCCCGAACCCCTAACTCCGAAATCCCTGAACCCCTGAACCCCTAACTCCGAAATCCCTGAACCCCTGAACCCCTAACTCCGAAATCCCTCAACCCTAAGCCCCTAACCCCCCTAGCAAACCCGGAAATCCTAAACACTAAATCCCTAAATCCCTAAACCCTAAACCCCCAACCCCCTAACAAATCCCTAAATCCCTAAATGGTTGGAAAGATAGCTACCTGGCAAAAAAAACACGGCGAGTGCTACTCAAACTACAGTGAGTGGGAGCATCCCGTCCGGTCTCATCAGGGGTCTGAAAGGGGCGTTGGGGTAAGCCCTAGACCCTAAACCATTAACCCCTAAACCCTAAATCCCTAAACTCTAAACCCTTAACCCCTAAACCCTAAATCCGTAAACCCTAAACCCCTAATCCCTAAACCCCCTCATCCCTAAACCCAATCTTATCCTATTTGGCAGGCCGTTGATGGGCGGTCCAGGGCTGCCTTCTTTGCCGAGGTCAGGCTCAACCTCTTCAGGCCGGTCAATTTAGAGACTGTATGGTTTTGAGGGGTTTAAGGGTTTAGGGTTCGGAGGTTTAGGGTTTAGGGGTTCAGGGTTCAGGAGTTTAGGGGTTTACGGGCTTTGGTTTAGGGGTTAGGGGGTTTAGGCTTAGGGATTATGATCTGTTGTGATGTTGCGTGGAACATGCAATATACGAGCTGTAGGGTGACGTCGATTGCGTCGCGGCTTGCGAGGTGCTGCAGTGGCCCGACTATGGAAGGCAATCTAACACATTCACCCACGTCGCGCTGTCTGAGGCGGCCAAACCACGTGAGGCCCCAGAGGCCCCACGGAGGAGGCTTGGAAAAGGCTCAGACACTGCTGGGCCGGCCACTGGAACAACCAGCCCCACATTCATGCGCTTTTGAGTTTAAGTTAATTGCCGATTGAGGCAGCCAGTACTGGTTGCAAGGAGAAGTTCGTACGGGGTCTGATGCAGGTGCTACCGGCGGGACCAGTTGACCTAAGGTGTATGCGCCGCCAGCATCGTAGGTGGGCGGCCTAAGCCTTGAGTTTAGGGATTATGGTTTACGGTTGGGGTTATATGGAGATGATCTACGGATATGTAGTGATGATATAGGGTTTACTATCCCAATGATGCAGTACCTCATGGGCAAGAAAATGGAAGATGAAACGGAAGCTGCGTGTACGTACTGGTTCATAGGGATTGGTGTATCGCTCTGGGGGTCCAAATCAAGAGGACAATAATATTTCAGGGTTCAGATTCGGGTCCCCCTGTTCGCCTAAACCCCTAAACCCCTGAACACATCATTTGCGCTTGGGTAAAAACCCCCTTGTCAGACTTTTTACAAGAGCGGTCCTATTTGCTGCTTCCCTGGTAAAACGATAACCAATACACAAAAAGCGAGAAGGTTTACAATTCCAGAAGTATTAGACATTTCCCCTGTAAAACGATGACCAAAAAACGATAAGGTTTAGAATAGGATAGGAAGAGTGGCCATGGGGTTTTCACACGAGCCCATTTTGGGCAAACATCAAACCACCGCACCAGGAATGACATCAATGGCTTCTCACGTGGGACTGCGAGTCATAGTAAACGGGCAGCTCAGGAAGCAACGCTGAGCCCTTAATTCCTAAGAAGCTGTGGTGCGCAAATCAAGTTGCAACCGCAGCTTTCCCATTATCATTTTCGCAGCAACCAGGTAAGTGAGTCGCCCCAAACCTTACACCTTTTAACGTGAGTTCCTGAATCTAGCTTAACAAATAAAAGACTATTGGCATCTTTTGAAAATACATCAAATTCACTTGGACGCAAGTTTTTTTTTTTAACATTCCTATTGTCTTTTAGGGTCTGGGAATATTTGTCTTTCAATCTGGAGGGTTTTCGACCTCGGGATGCATTTGCCTTCAAAGTGCTCTTTGACACCGCCCAGATGCCCCCAACACAGATTCGGGAAGTCTAGGGGCTTTTGACGTTGGGCTCGGATTGGGGTAGTTGCAGTGCTGCAACTGCTTTATGGAGGCTTCACGGAGGTCCTGACTGTTAAAATCGTTTTGCCCAAGTCTTTTTGTCTTCCTTCGCCTCCAGGTTTTCAGAGGCCGCGCAGAAGGAGCTCGTTGAGACGTTCACGGATCTCAAGGCAGAGGTGGTGAAGCTCGTGGACTCCACAACGCAGGTGCCACTCGCCTTGTTTCCCTTGACTCAGAGACAAATTGTGCTGCAAACTGCTGGCCGCTTGCCTGCTCAAGTGCAGCTGGCACTGTTTGGGACCACATGCTCCATACTCGCTGCACCTAGCTTTGACTTTGCCTGAATGGCTTTCACTCCCATCGAATCCGGTGTTGGTGGCCTGCTCATTGGATATTCGGCCGCCCTAGCATACCTGGCAGATGGCAAGATCACGGGCATCAGTGGCATCGTGGGCCCCTTCTTGCGAGGAATGGGGGAGTGCCAGCCCTTGAAGGATGGTCAGTTGTGGAAAGCTCTCTTTCTAAGCGGCCTGGTTATAGGTGGTCTCTTGAGCCTTGCCTTCCATCGAGACTTTGCCTACCCACAGGCCTTGGAGATCTCATTGGTCAGGTACTGCTTGGGTGGTGTCTTCGTTGGCATCGGCACTCGTGCAGGAAGAGGTTGCGCGGCTCTTGAAATGATCTCTCGGATCTGTGTCAATTTTGAGAGCAGGGCTTGCTGAAGACTGTGAATCTCCTAATAAACATTAATAAGCTATGTACATTTTCGAGTGAATTCCATTGTTCATGCGAGGCTGCACTTCTGGCCATGGCATCTGCGGTCTTCCTCGACTTGCCCCACGCAGCTGGATTGCGGTGCCCACCTTCATGGGAGTTGCGGCCGCCACAGTGGCTGTCACCAGGCATACAGCCAAACTGGATGCCAGCGGTCCGTGGCAGGTAGCGGAGCTCCAGTGGCCTCCCAACTGGGAGTTTCCTTTTGTGGCAGCCATTTGGAGCCTGCTGCTGACTCTTCCTGTAATGCTGCTGCCTTCCAAGCCTCGAAGCTTCATATCACCGATGGCATGCGGCATCATCTTTGGTTTGGGCCTGGGCGTCTCTGGGATGACAAGCCAGGCGAAGGTCTTGGACTTCTTGGACTTTGGGGGAACCTGGGATCCAAGCTTGGCCTTCGTGATGGGTCTGGGACTTTGTGTGTCCTTCCCAGCATTCCGCCTTGCAGAGCGAGAGGGGAGCAAGCCACTGTTCGGTGAGGAGTGCAGCTTTGAGAAGCCCTCCAAGACTGGGAATTACGGGTCACTGGTTCTGGGTGCCACGTTCTTTGGCCTCGGCTGGGGTCTGGTTGGCATTTGCCCAGGGCCCGCTCTGGCTGGTATGATTCCTTACTTGATGAGCGGTACTGGTCCTGGCCTCTCTTTTGGCTTTTGTGTGCTGCTGATCCTTGTCTCCTGGCTGGTGACAGACCGAGCCAGCTATGTGAACTCACAGCCTGCTCTGGAAGTGCCGGGGGTGAGAGTACAAGCGCCGGCAGATGAAAAAGCATAGGGCCTATAGGGTGTACAGGTTAGCGCAGGTGCAGATGCGCCAAGCTGATGATCGAGACGTGCAGATTTTGACGACCCGGTTTTCAAACTTTGTTTTGCTTCAAGCCGGGCTGAGTTTCTTGGGCACTATGCTCAGGAACTTCCAGCACCACTTCTACTCTTTTCGGAAGCCTTGCTTACGCTCTTGCCCCGTGCAAGAAGCCGGCAGTGGACCTCGCGAAGACAGAAAGCTGGACCAGCCGCAACAAAACAAGCTGAAGCGGTTAAAACAAGGGCATATCAGCATATCTAATGTCCACTTCCAGCTCGCTCCAGGAAGTGGCCGCCTGGCTGGATGAGGACTGCCAGGGCTTTACTGGATCTTTGTAGAAGTTATAGCAGTCTTGGAAAGCATGCAGCTTGCAAGCAGCATGCTCTCAAAGGAGCAGGTAGCAGCGGCTTGGCACAACCAAGCAAAACAGGCTGGGATGCTGATGGCGGAACACATGTCTGACACCCCTGTCTTCTGAAGCTGTACATGTGTGTGATCCGTTATTGGGCAAGTCTTGGAGCGGCATTAATCCCACTGCCACCACACCTGACAAGGGTCGGCGCATATTTGGAGATATGCATCATCTGCATGAGGCTTCTCTCGTGAAACTTTGGCTCAAGACTGTAGGGTGTCCACCATGCCACCCCGAAACGGGAAGCCTCGCGAGAGGGGCCTCTCTATCTGCATGTGAGCACTTGAATTGATTGACATACAAGCTGTGTTCATGGGGAACATGCAGTCATGAGCAGCCTGCTGCAACAACTGAGGTACAGTCGTTGCCTGGAAGACAGCGGACTATGGCTTTGTGAAGCGAGAGGGACGTCACAACGATGATATCCAGCTCCACGTCGCAAACGCGAAGGGCGAGCGTTTCAAGGACTACATTCGGCGTCATGGCGTCGCACCCGGCGTGCGGGTGAAATTTGACGTCGACTTCGAGGTGGGACTTGCAGCATTGTACACTTTGCAAGCTGTGCGAAAGTCTGCAAACTTGCCAAGGCACACGTTTGTGGCCCTTGCATAAACATGCCAAAAGCGGTCCAGGAGAACAGAGGCAGGCCCTACGCCGCCAATTGGGCCCGGCCCCCGGTGTACTATACTTGAGCGACAGCGTGAATCGAAAGCCCAAGTATAAGAATCGAAGGCAGAATCCAATCTACAAACTACACTGCGCAAGGTGTGTAGTGCAGGATATTCAGGGCAGGCCGCTTCCTCTGGGTCATGGCTTCTTGAATCTCGTGGATCTCAGGTTTGAATCGCCAGCCCTAAGAATGTTTTTAGCTCGTCAACGTCAGAAAGTACTGACACACCCTGGAAGGTCCCGGGCCCAAATCTGCAAACGGTTTGCGACAAGAACTTGACCTCAACGGTCATTTGGATACCTGTTCTTGGATTGGCAGTTAGTTGCGTCAAAGTTAAGGTCAGCATTGGATGGTAGGCGGAGTCCACCCCAAGCAGTGTGAGCCTCAAAGCCTTAAAGCTCCAAAGCCTGCATTAAAAGACCTTGAAGGACCTCAGACCATCCTAACCGAACCTCCAATCCTGAACATCCTACACCCTGCCTCAGTCCTTTTGGTGGGCTCAGGAGCTCGTAGATCCGCCCAAGTTCTCCCAAAGCCCGAGCCGAAGCCGTGGCCGACGGAAGTCGCCCAGCACTCGAAGGCGCATGCATCCCTTGCCCTCACTCTAAGGTGGTAGCCTTAGCAAGTACCATAGTATTCTGGTCCTAGATTTCTTGGATTACCACCCATGGCTCCACATAGCAAAAAGGGTACCTCAAATAAACCTCAACATATTGTTGGTGATTATTGCGGCCCCTACGTTTTGTAGGAAAACACTGGAGTCATAGATTAGAACATATTATAAAAAGTTGTAATCTACATCCCCTTTAGTTCCTATGATCCATAACGCTGAACGGCGTGTTTTGTGATATGCCAGTCTACTTAGCTCTTACCTCTTTTTTGGGGGAGACCCGAGGATACTTAGCGATGGTCAGGGGGCTTCAGAGGTATCCGTTTACGAATTCTACAGGGTGAGGTGCCAAAGCAGACGATATTTTCTTTTTGCTACTGGGCTGGGAAAAAAGTTCTCGAAGGGTAGGCATCAGGAGGTTTTGACCTGCTCGCCTTCGTCCGCCATCCTTGGGTTTGTTCTCAACCGTTTAAATGCCACCATTGGATCTCAGCAACAGCTGCACTGTTTTTTAGATTCCACCTGCTTGGTAGTTAAGGTTCAGGCCTTTGGGATAAGAAAGTTAGACTCTGCTAGTCCAAGATCAGTGCAGTTTGCGGGGCGCGGGCATGAGATCCCTTGCCAGGGTTTGAGGCTGCAAAACATGCTTCCGTACTGGTGGGAACAAAGGTGTCCATCATAGAAATTTCATGACAATCAGTGATCCAGAAGATCGACAAAAGAAGCGAAGAAGCGCTGCACATACACAAATCATTCTTGATTTGAGCTGTAAGCCTTTGCAAATTTTAAAACATCACATCTTTTTAGACAAAAGAAGGTGAAATGCCGCTGGTACCATCCCGGCAGCACAGCTCCCCCAAGTTCATCCACGTGGACATACCGCTATATTCCTGGTTCTGTCATCGATCGCTTCCTCAGTTGGATGCCCTGTCATTGGAGGCGACGGTCTCCCAGTGTCCGGAAACGGAGATCGCCGAGCGTAGAATCCTCAGCAGTTATCCGAAGCAATTCCTGTGACTCTCGTGCTCGCATGAACTTTCCCACAGAGCCTCGGCATCCTTGGCCCAACAATCTGAACAATTGACGTTCACCCGTGGCAGCTTAGTCTAGGTTGCACGCGGATTGCGGATGATTGCGGAAAGCAATCATAGCTTCAGAATTGAGCGACAACATAATCACGCAAGGTCAAGAGGCGTCGCTCCCCGAGCGTGAAAAGACCGCGCTCCTCACCGCAACTTGGAACTGGCAGTTGTATAAAGTCTCGAAGTCTTTTAATTAAGACGAGGTGCACGCCGCAGATGGAAGTGAGGGTTTAATCAGAGCGTGTAGGGCGTGCTCTGGGCACTCTGAATCCATCTGAATCCGTGCTGTTGCTGTGCCTCCTGGACCTGCGTGAGCAGCCCGGGACTGCATTTGCATCAACCTGACTAACCTGATTAACCTGACCTTTCAGTCAGCTCAGGAGCCGCGATCGGAAGAAATCCCGATCCCGGAGTCGGAGAAAGCGGTCCCGAAGCCGAAGTGAGCGGAAGCGGCGGAGCCGCAGCGGTTCCGAGCGAAAGCGACGGAAGGACCGCTCCCGGAGCAGAGATCGGAGCGATGACAAGAAGAGGAAGAAGTCCGCAAGCCGAGGTCGCGACAGCGAGGATAGGAAGAAAAAAGCGAAGTCAAAGAGCCGTGACGGGAAGGAGAAAAAGGCGGAGGAAGACAAGGAGGAGAAGCAAGAGGACAAGAAGTCACGCAGCAGAGGCGGTGATGACAAGGAAAAGGCAAAGAAGAGGAGTAACAGCAGCTAGTGACCCCTTGGGGTTTGCTGCTGATGACTATGTCTCTGCCGATTCCACTTTGACTCTTCTCTTTCTTCTCTGCAACATGATTTGCTGCTTCTGTCGAAGTGTCTCAGCCATGTTGACTGCAAAACTGATGCTGCAGAGAGGAGACTTAAAGCGGAATTGGCTGGCCGGTAGCTACCAGACTCCATGCCTTCACAGCGTGAAAGAAAGCTGATTTGCAAAGTTCCCTTGAGCAACCAGACCGAATGCTGTTTGTAGATACTTGCTCCACGGCACTTTGATGACCTTGAGTCCAGCCTCTATTGCTAACTGTAGGTGCATGATGTGACAGGGCTATAACAAAGGCTGCCTCTGCAAGAGGGTCGGAAATTTTGTTTCTGGAGCGGACAGGCCACGCTGTTGACGCAAGTCAAGGCTCTGTTCCAGGCCTGGGATGATCTGTTTGCTGCTGCTGCTTTACATGCAGGCTCTTCCAGTCGGTGTCATGCTTCTGAAACAGCATGGCCTTAGCAGTCTGATGCCAGCCATACTTCTGGAAGAGTTCTGTCCGGGCGAGGGTTTACACAAGAGCACTCCAACAAACAGCCGTGAACTAAAAACACTGGGCTTGCAACAGGCATGGGCAGCCATTCTGCGATATAGGCTTGTAACAGAATGAATGGCCTTGTTTGCGACAGGCACTGTTGGACAAAGTTATTTCGCAGCGCATACGATTACTAAGCATTCGTGACGAAGGTACGTCACAAAAGGCCGCGCTCGACAAAGAGGTGAATTCACCGCGGGGTGGGGACTGCAACAGCAAGGAGTTTTGATCCACGCCAAATAATTTCCACATACCCCCTATCATGATTCACTTCGCGCACTTGTTTGTTGCGCCTTTACACTCCCATTCAACAACTGAAAGGCAAAATCATTCTGCATGGCAAGCACCGCATGGTTGCAGGCAGTGCTGAGCCCACCATTCCAAGCAACGTTTCGCCATTTGAGTGGCGGGGCAAAGCGCGCCAAAGAGGCCGGCAGACTTCTGATTCCGGAAACTTTTGCTGTGGACCTCTTTCTTGCAATAGTGGCCTTCTTTGGTCAGGCTTTCCTGCTCCAAACCGCACTATGCCTCAAAAGCGGCAGCCAGAAAAACTACTGGGACCAGCCGGGCGCCAACGAAAGGTCTTGTGGAATAGCGCTGCAAGTTCAAAGTCTCAAGAGTTCTTGGTCCAAGATTCTTGGTGTTAACAGTTTGTTACATCCGTCTGCCCAAAACTAGTCGTCTTCACTCCGCACGGGTTGTGCTCAGGCCTGACCTGGGCGAGCTTGCTGGCAAGCTTCGCAGGTCCTTCTTCTATGTGCCGGCCTGATACTGGTTTGAAATGGCTTGAACAATTGGCGCAAATGCCGCGGCACTTTGCATCTTTGTAGTTATCATCAGTTGGTGCAGCCATCAGAAGGCTTGTGGCCCCCCACAGGGGTGCCATTATTTGGGCCTTGAGCCTTCAATCTATGAGTCGCCAAGTTTGCTCTTCAATGAGCCATCTTGATCCTTTCGTCAAGGTCGAAGGCTACGGGGAGCTGATGGACGACTGGCTTCAGAGCCGCGTCAAGCAGCTCAACGAGGTTCGCTGGGGCTGTAGGGCACTGGGAAGCATGGGCAGACGGTTTATAGTGTGTCTGACAATATGGCGTTGGTGTGCGACTTTGCTTTTTGCAGGACCGCCATGAAGTTTCCGGAGTGTGCGCGTGTCGGGGTTGGGGTTCGCTGGCTTGCGCAAGAGAAGTAGCATGTGGAGCAAGAGCCGTAGATCATTGGTTAGCTTGCTCGAAGAAGCAGTGCTGTTGATGATGAGAGCGGCTTCTCATAAGCTTCGGGAGGACTTTCTTCAGCGCGCTGCGAACATGCTTGGCACTGGCCTGCCTGCAGTGTTGGCACGGCTTCGCCAGATCTTCAGGCGCGGATTCCTGGTGGGAGAGGTTAGGCCGTGCAGCGTTCATCATTGGGCAAGCAGTCAAGATTACGTAGGGTCCATTTGTTGGCTCCCTTGTTCTGCGGAGCGAAGTAGTTGTGAAGGTGTGCTTTACCAAATGACCACTACATAATTCCCGAGATTGTTATCGTTACTATTCTTAGCATTTCTACTCCTGCAATTTTTACCACTGTGTTTTGATTGTTACGATGATGATGATGATGATGATGGTAATGATTGCTAGTTCAAACGTTTCCTCAGTGTTATCCTCGTGGGAGGGCAGGGCTGTGCTTGCGAAGCCAGCTCCAAGAGCTGCAGTTGAGTATGAGCAACACAGCAGCGCAGTGGTGCAAGGAGAACAAGAACAGTTTCAGATAATTTCAGCAGGATCTGCGTTCCCATGTTCGATAAAGTCGGTGCAGCAACAGATGCTTCCGGTTGTGGGTTTGATAGGTTTGGTTCGTGAAGCTTGAGACAACCCAGCTCTGAAAGCTCGAGGATGTTGAGTGTTAGAGCGAAATTCAAGACCTGAATTGCATATGACCAGGATTTGTGAAGAGAGAATGCGCAGAGGCGTTTCCAACCTACCCAAAAAAGCAAGGGTGTGCGGAGCTTGTTGGCAGAGTAGCTTCAGATACCGACTGCCTTGCTTGCTGGGTCTTTGCTGCTTGGAGGGATCCCTGAAGGCATTGCAGTGCGAAGTGGTATTCTCTTTTCGGAATGGTATGGCAGCACGTGCAACATTCTTGGGAGATCACCTTTCCATCAAAGCAGACTGAAGGTTTTCCAGCACAAGCACTCTTTGTGAGGCCAGGGCGCTGGATGTTTCTCTGCGATCCGCGTTTGGAGAGCGCAGCTTGTCCACAAATGAAGATGTTCCGATCCTTGTGTAATGGCACTCTGATGTCAAACCAAAAGCACGTGTTTCATCCGCTGAAAGTAATTCGAGACGTGGCAACGGCGGGTCAAGGACTTGATCAACGTGTTCCACGAGGACACTTTTCCGCGGCACGTGCTCACACACTCCACAATAACGCAAGTGCTGGAGAGAGTCACTGCGCTGGGTGGAGACGATGCTCAGCTGCAGCTTCATAGACCGCATGGTGGCATTTTCGTTCAGGGAAGGATTCCACAGGGTCTTCAGTCATAGTGACGCACGTGTTTGCATCACACGCGGTCTGGGATCTCTAGGATTTCCACGTCTACAACGACATCGTGCGGTCACCACCGCTGCAAGCTCCCCTGTCCAGTGGTCCCATGGACCTCATTGAGTCTGCTCTGATGGAGGTTTTGCGTCGGCTTCCAGGCTTTCCCCCACTGGTGCGGTTGCCTCCTGGACCTGGCCTCTACCGCTTTGGACGTGTGGAAGTCCTCTTCCAGTTGGCTGGTACAGACCTGGCCGCGCGAGTCCTCTCCTCTCCAAGCGGTGTGCTGCCGGAAGTACTCAGAGCCTTGGACTTCTTTGTGCAGTTCGGTCCACAAGAGTTCCCCAAAGCTGCAGCTGAAGCTGTCCAGAGCTCCGACTCCATGCATCTGTGTCCCACCACTGGCATTCAGGATGTCGGAGCACCCGCGGCCAGTCCAGGGCTTGTGCGGCCACCCATGAGCTTTGGTGTGCCTCCTGCGCCGATGCCTACAATGCCGGCAATGCCTGTCCCACCCCATCCAGGGCTGGCTGTTGGCTTGGGTCTGCCAGGGCCGCCACCATTGCCAGCACCACCTGCACCTTTGGCCCCTGGAATTTCTGGGTTACCACCAGCCCCAGCGCCGATGATCCCCTTCGTGCGCCCCAAGTTTGGGCTTGACGATGACGAGATCTAGGGCGACTTCCTGGTTGTAGCGGACGTAAAAAGGAGGCAGAGCTAGTTGGTGCTCTGCACCTTGTGATTTGTTGGTTGCTTCGATCTCGCTTTGCAACGATAGCTCTAGCATGCAGCATATGCCCATGTGGTTGCGCCGCGCAGACCCTCTGGCTAAGGTCCAATCTGCAGCCCTCCCGAGTGAGGAGTAGCCGCTTCTGTTGCTCGTCAAGCTTTGATAGACAGGAAGCGATAGTCCTGTTTCGGCTTGACGAGCTGACATTTGGCTGACGTGTCTCGAATGCTCCTTAGTCTAGGAGGCCTGCAACAGCAGCTAGCTCACAGGAAGGGTCTCGACAACTTTACTTGTTGTCAGCACCGAAAACCTGCCATGCTAAGCCAGACCAAGGAGAGGCGGGCACAAAAGAAAGTGCAGTGCCGCAGCATTAGGGTCGACTGCTTCTTCGGGCCGGGACTGGGGCAGATTCTGGTAGATTGTTGTAGTCTATGATGTCTGTGCTTTCTTTGGGATTTGCATGGGTGCTTTGTTATCAGTAGGATCTCATGCAAACATGCAGAACCCAGCTTTCTGGTGCCGCATCTGTGTGTCAAGGCTCTGCCTTGCTTTAGAGACAGCTCTATGGAAGCACAAGCTCGGCGATTTAAGACTAGCTTCTGGATCTTTCAAGCTGTGGCAGCTGTATGGCAGCCTTCGGTTTTCAAGGAAGACTAACGCTTTTCAGGTCCATCACCCGGCCTGAATAGTACCAGACTAGCCTAGCAGGGATTGGCTCGTGTGTTCATGATCAGCCTTCCACACATCTTGTGATGGCCAAAGCCGATCCCTGAGATCCGACAGTATTGACGAAGTTTAGCCCAAGAAGCTCTTGACAGCTGCAGGCTAAGGGCATCGCAATTCGAAGGGATGACACCCGAAGGATGGAGGAGGAGGCGGCGGCGGCAGTTGATTCCCTCCTTCCTAGCAGCGCACGCAGAAGCTGACAGGCCAAGCAGATGGAGGCAAAGTTAGAGCTGCTGCGACGCACAATGGACGCCCGCAGCTTAGAGTTTTTGAATTTGGGCAAACCAGCAACTCTTATGAACCAACATGTGTTGGGGTGTATGAATGATGGCAAGCCACACCAGAGATGCCAGAGTTGCTGTGAGGTGGCCGAGCAGTCTGGTAGGGGCAGGCGGCTCAGGTTCCCTGCAGCCAGCAAGAAGGGTCGACTTTGCCACCGATTATTAGCATGATACGGTCATGGTTATTCTTAGTATTAGCGTGATTTCATCGTTATTGTCGCTGTTCTTGTAACTGTTCTCCTATATTATCATTATCAGAATGAGCGCGCGGCAGCCAAGGGGCTGATGCTGGCAGGCGCGAGCGCTTAGCTGCCAGAGCCTGGAGAGAGAAGAAAGATGATAGTGGGACTTGGCAGATGAAGGTGCTGTTGACACCATGTGTAAATGGTCGTCCTCACTGCGTTTGTAATTTGAAGCTGCTCTTGGGTCACTGGCTGAGCATGTGCATGCCACCCTTATGAGGTCACGTCGGCAGTCATCATTTCAATGAGAATTAGACCATTACCCCTTCGACTTCTTGATCACTTTGCAGGTGGCGGAGTGCTGCGAACAGTAAGCCCCTGACGAAGGGATACATCAAGAGCGTCCTGGAGGCAGAGTCAGAGCTGCTGATGAATTAAACTTCTGTGCATACACTGTTGTTTTCTTGCCTGATGGCTTACTTCGATTAGCCTCCATGCACCGCAGCTACAGATTCTGGAGGTTTGGACCTCACATTACCTCTCTCCGAGCTCCGAGACATTCCACTTGGCCAATTTTGCCTCCCAACCCTCCCTGATCACACAGTGTGGCATGTCCATACTGCAACAACATTCCCGCAGTGCTTTTCTTGACATCCAGAGAGTCTGTGATGCTGTGCAGAGCAGAGACGCCTCTAAGTCAAAGAAGTCGAAGTCTTCTTGGCATTGGGCGAGGCTCCGCGGCCCAAGCAGCGGGCAAGCCCCAAGTGGGCCGTGCCGAGTTGAAGGGTTTCGGAGGGCTTCAGAAACCGCAACATGAAGAAGCCTGAATACTTTTTGCCAAGCTGATTGTGGAACTGAGTTGACTTGGCGGTTTCCCACTTGCTTGGGTTCGTGCTCTTTGTGACCAGCACTGCTTCATGACGCTGTTTCATGCTTGGGATTGTATGGGCAGTGGGCAGTTTATTCCAGCACAAGCTTGACTTCAGTTGTACCAGCCAACAGCAGGTCGCCGACAGACTCGGCCGGCAACGGCAGCGCACCCCAAAGTCATGAGGAGGCCCTCGGAAAGGTCAAGAGCTCCCAGATTGACGGGTGGTCCTCTTTATGGTCCTCCCTACAACTTTTGCATCTTGTCCTTCAAAGCGCAGTGGTAACGCCTTACTGCGCGGACTCGCTCGTTAGCATATCAGTTCCCCCTAGCCGTGGAGTGGCTTCCTGTTTCGCCTCCAGTGCGTACCTCCAACTCAAAATTCGGTACTCTCAGTGGGAAGATCAATTCTTGCTCAGGCACCCCTCGCCTCAGCGACCAAGCTCCTCAGTTCTAGTCCCTCCGATGTTCCCTCCTCAGAGGTAGAGTAGATTCAGTACGCTGCACGGCACAAGGCCAGAGCTGCGATTCCTTGAAAGAAAGGGTAACAACTCTCACTTGAAGTGGAATGTCCTTAACATTCTTGTTTTTTCAAGTCTGTGATGGTAGACCCAGGCTAGCGGCAAGGCAGCGGCAAACCTCCAGGCAGCTGCCATATCTTCACAGGGATGCAGAAATGGGGTGTGCATGTATAAGCTTAACACTATTCCTGCGTTGAAGACATTTTTGGCAGCTGTTTCCTTGTCTAAGCCTCATTAGATAGATTCTTGCCGCAAAAGCTATCAGCTTACCTTCTGCTTAGCAGGGATTGCAGGAATGGTAAAGAACATGGACACTACTATCTTATTGGGGGATATATATATATATACATATATGTCGGGGCTACTATAATTGATGAGGATCCATTCCTTCATCCTTGCTGACCAGACTTAGGTCGACGTCCTGCAGCTATGTACATGCACCTTGCAGGCGGCCATGATGCAGCAGAGCAGGGAGGCCCTGGAGGTTGAGGCCACTTGCAGCGCTTTAAGGAGGAGTACCACACTATAATTGGTACTGTTACTGCGATGATTTGTTTTGTACTATGGCTGCTACTCGTATGAGTAGTATTACCATTATTGTTATCTCTACTATGCCCCAGAAACGGACCCTGCAGTGTCAGGCTTTCTTGTGCTCCTTGAAGCTCGACAGATACGCCAGCCTTTTCATGGACTGCGGATGTCTTGCACCATGCACAGTGTGTGTGCGTGTGTGTATGCCTAGCCGCTTTTCGCACAGATCTCATGTATCACAAGTAAGCGCGGCCAGTGCTCACATGTTCTCAGGTTGCAGTGCTTGCGTAACTGCGCAGCTGGGAGTGCTCAAAGAGGCGATGCTCTCAAGAGCAATGTGGCAGGCATGCACTCCTGGCTGTGAGAAATGCTGTGGCAGCTTAGGGGATGCCATCTCGCGGTTGTACAGAGCTGTGCGAGGACGGGAAACTCGGCCGCGAGTTGTGTCGCGCTGGGGCAAGGTCCGTGGCCTGGCGCTGTCCCTCCGCGCCCTTGAATCGGTGCTGGAGGATGTCCGCTGCAAGCAGACGGAGGAGCTTTATGCAACAGACTGGAGTGAAGCACCAACACCAGAGCGGTCACCGAGACCTTCCGTGCCGTGGCGCATGGTGCAGAAAGTGTCGCGGTCGCTCTCCGTGCTGGATGGCCTATTGAATGAGGTTCGCTGTAAGCAAACGGAGCAGCTCTATGATTCCGATTGGAATACAGCGTGCAGCGAGGACGAGACGTGCGATACGTGCGAGACATGTGATACGTGCGAGACATGTGAGTCTCTGTAGCGCAGCTTACACCCCTGCATGCAGATTGGGGTCTGTGGCAGAAGCCGTACACGCTGAGCTTCTTTTGGATCCCTCGTGAGCAGTTGCTCTATGACTCTAGGTGTAATTCTGTCTGGGTCCTTCCGAGTTTAAAATAATGAACGGTCTGCTTCGTTCAACCCGAAGCAACCAACCGTGCACTGTATCTTTACCTTGTACAGGGCCAGAGAGCCATGTAAAGCTAATATTCAAACAAACAGACATTCCTGAAGAGATTGAGGAAGCCAAGCCAGTTCTCTGTGTTGCAAACTCCAGCATTGGAAGGCGGGGAGGTCTGTTTGCATGCCCAAGATTGCTTAGCCAAGAGGTTTCAAACGTGACAGTTTCTCCGTGACCAATTGGGCACGAGGTCCACTTGAAAGCCGGAGCACGATGTAATTGTGCAGAATTCGGCTGCACGTGTGCAGATTGGATAGACTTTTAACCATGTCTGTGCAAGCAACCAGCGTCATGTCAAGACTCGGCGAAGCTAAAGATGTGAATCTTTGGGAGTAGGATTGCAGGCAGCAGGTTCCGATTGACTGTTGAAGCCGAGAAGGTGCTTTGGACGCTGGTGTTTTTGCCCTAGCATCTTTGCTACTTTTCCCGCAGGCAGCTGTTGCTTGTTGCAGGCAGGCGGAACGGCACTTGCACACGCCAGATGACAGCAAAGTGACCGCTTCAGTCTCCATGGCTCTGCAAACTTCAAGCTGAAGACTGAAGACAGCGTGACTTAATGGCTCAGTGGTCAGGAGCACGGCTTCGACTGCATGGAGGTGGTCAAGGAGATGGAGGAATCGCGCGTGTGAAGCGGCAACCGCTTTTGCGCAATGACCTCGCCCGACCGCGAGGAGCAGCACATGCAACAGATTGGCATGGCTGCTGGACACATCATCAAGTTGAGGAGCCGAGCTTGAGTTGTGTAAGTCCTACATGCCTTCTGCACCAGTCGAACAATCAGCCATACCCATCGCTGATGCAAAATGCAAGAAAACATGCAGCTGAGCACAGGAAACGGCTGTCAGAAATGACTCCGGCCA